CAAGTAGGACCTGACCAAAGCAGAGTAGAGTGGAACAATGATTTCCTCTTATCTGGAATAATGCTCCTGGTAATATAGCATTTGTGTTTTTAGCAGCTGCATCACACTGTTGGCTCATGTTCAGCTTCTGATCTACTAGAACATCCAGATCATGTTCACATGTATTACTACCAAACTGCACTTTCCCCTTCCTATATTTGTGCCATTCATATTTTCTCCTCAGATGCAGGACTTCCGAATTTCTCCATTAAATTTCACCCTATTTATTTTGGCCCACTTGTAAGATCTTTTTGAATCTTCTCTATTTATTCTAAAGTTTTGTCTTCTCCAAACTCGTCCTAGTTTTGTATCATTTTCAAATCTGATAATTATTCCCTCAGTCTCTTCATCTAGGTTATTGATAAAAATGTTGAACAGCACAAGACCCAGGACAGAGCTCAGTGATGCTCCACTTGATATTACTCTCCAAGCTGATGTGAAGCCATACATGAATACTCTCTGAGTGTGGTCATTCAGCCAATTAAGAATTCATCCAACCATTGTATCATCTAGCTCATATTTCATCATTTCATTAATGAGGATATCATGAGACAGTTCCCCTCAGGTCCCCAGATCTTGCCTGAGCTTCCATTCACACATCCCTTTAGATTAGTTTCACTGTATAAAATATAAGAACAAATGGAAATGATAGATAATAAAAGGTACAGATAGTACATTCACGTGGTTTTTGGATCCATTTCTGCCAGTGATCACACAGCAGGTCTGTTCGAAAGCTTCCAAGCTTGTAACATTTCGAGCTCAGAACAAAACACCCTGTGTTCTGTTCTGCACTCAGAAAAAAATGGAGCATTTCATTCCATGTTGTTTCAAGTGTTCTGCCATAGGGAACAATGAGACTTTGAAACAAGCCAGTGCTCTCTCATTTTTCAACTTAAGTCTCCAACTGTGCATAAATCAACATAAATCTCAGAAAGGAATAGTTGAATCAGATAGTCAATCTTTATTTCTTCAGTCTCCCCTCAAAAAAACCAGCATGAACTTATCCTACCTACTTTTGTGACTTCCAGAATAAAAATATATGCTTGTTTTGAATACACTATAGTAGAACACTCAAAACATTTCAAATTTTGTTCTGTTGGAGTATGTTTGAAACATAAAGTAGTATTTTAATTGGGGCTGTTACATTTCAACCTCAGAATAAAATGTTTTGTGCACACCTCTACTGCTCAGATAGTAGACATGTTTACCTCTAGAGCTAATTCTGGGTTTGCAGCCAAGAAATGTTCACAAGATGTGATGTAGTAACACTATAATGCATGCATGTAGTTGGATAGTGTATATGAACAGAGTTGAGTCACTCCCTTTTCCTTGATAAAAAGGAAGATTTTATATTATGTGAAAAGATCTATCTATCTATCTATCTATCTATCTATCTATCTATCTATCTATCTATCTATCTATCATCTTTAGAAAAAAACAGCAAGGGGCACACAGCCTTGAGGACAGCTATATGGATTTCATGCATTAAATCTATCAATTTAATTGTTTTACCTTATTCATGTTCCTATATCTCATTTTTTTCAATGTTTTCCTTGGATCCAGAAAAACAATCCAAAAATGGGCCAGATCTGGTTTAGGACTATAGAGAAAAACATTCCAGAAAAAAAAAATCCCCAATGCATCCCACACTGACGGTTGTGCAGTGGCTGAGAATGCTGCTGCTGGCCCATTCTAACCCTTCTTCCCTCTCGGTTACGTGACCCACAGCAGGGCATATGCATCTTATCCTGTGCTTCCCAATACAGACTAATCACCAACAAACACGTACACAACACAAAGGGAAAGCAGAAGTACACAAACTGACAGACACATAATATGATAATTATAGAGAAGAAAATATAGACTCCTCCTATGGCTCCTACTGGTAAAGAGAATGGAAGGAATTCAAGAAGCCATGTTTTGCATGTTTTTCCTAACTTGTAACAAGTAAGGCTGCTCTATGAGAAAAAAGAAGGTATTTTCTAACTCTACTTAATACAGTTTGTTAGTAGGGAATAGAATTCAGGGCAGCTTCAGATATGAACATGAGATTCGTATAGTATAATATGCCAGCTTATCCAGTTTTAGCACTTCTGGATGTGATGACCAGCTCCTAGACTTTTTAGCAGTGGGCATGTTGGCTTAGAAATTCTGGAAATTAATATTTATGTGTCTACAATAGACACATAGAATGTGAAAGGCTGTTATATCATACATTGATGATCACAAATACATGGAATGCAGTAGGTCTGAATCTCCTAGATACAAATCAGTTGTGCTCTGGCAAATTCACTTCTGCATGAATTGTAATTATTCCTTTAGGAGTTCACACTAATCTGGGTTCTTATATAAGTACCAGCTTCAGATAATGTGTCTAGTACACTGAGAAAAATACGTGGAATGCAGTAGGTCTGAATCTCCTAGATACAACTCAGTTGTGCTCTGGCAAATTCGCTTCTGCATGTAATCATTCCTAGAAGAGTTCATATTAAACTGGGTTCTCACATAAGCGCCAACTTCAGATAATATGTCTAGTACACTGAGAAAAGACTCATTTTCAGTGTGAAAAGTGACAAGATTATCATGTTTGATTCTAAAGGAAAAGTTCTTGAATTAAACTCTTTGGCTATGAAATGATTTCATGAGCTTTTCCTCTGCCTCCACTAATGTAAAAAGAGAAACGGTATACAAATAACTAGAATCTCATATCTGAATGACGCACATTGGTCTGTTCAGATTATGAGGAAAGATGAACACATCAGAAGACATTCCATGCTGAAACAGACTAATAGGAGAGTTCCCTCTAAATTATGACAACAGATGGTAGCATTAATAAAAAGTCCAATAAATTCTATTATATTAGGTAGTGGTGCTACTAACAGATCCTCAAGAATGCCATACTGTTGTTTGTATGTTTCTGAAATGATCTGTCTAGAGCTGATGGATTAAAAACACATGGAGAGTAATTATTTACTATTTGTGTCACATAATAGATATATACACCCATATATAAACTTTGTCATTTTTTTCACTTGTATGTGTTACTCTTAAGATCAAAAAGCATTCTAGAAATTAGATGGATTATGCAATATGAAGTGCAGGATTATAACTCATTTGTACTCCAGCAACAACTGACAATAAGCAGGGATCTATTAGTTCTACTTCAGAAACATCTGCAAGACTGTAGGCTTCTCAGCCTAATGATGACTGTGGTGTCTATAAGGCCATAATCCATGCTATATCATCTCTGATTGGAACAGTGAAGAATCTCTTTTGACTTAAAAAAAGGAACTAAAATAGCAACAATTATATATTTTTTTAAATGGATATAAATTAAGCAAAACAAGAAAACTGCAAAAGTTGTAGGTTTTTAAAATATACAGTGGAACCTCGGTTTACGAACTTAATTCGTTCCGTGACTCTGGTTGCAACCCAAATTGTTTGCAACCCGAAAGAAATT